TGACTTTGTATGCCTGCCCAATAGCACTCTCCACCTTAATTAGTGCTGACCCGTCCCGAGGGGCGGAGCTTAAGCTCAGGGTATTCTCATGCAATAAGTGAAAAACAGTATAAATACCCCAGGGCAGCTGTGAAAGGGCACCATCCACTGCTCACTGAGCAGAGGAAGCCAGGAGAGCTGCCCACACATCTCTAGAACTTCCAGCACCAGGTAAGCCTGGACCAAGGATCACTGGGAGACATCCCTGTCAGGTGGCTTGGAAACAAGCTGTAGTCAATTATAGATATCATTGTGCATGTGCATGATTTTAAAAAATGGCTTTCTACCAAAGGGCAACTAGACAGGTTCTTGTGTAGTTAACTGTTTGAGATATTCTTAATGTACAAACTTGCCTTAATGTTAATTTCAATGTATCTTGAAAGTTCTAGCTATATCAGGGTTATGTCAAAGATTCTGGATTATTTAATATAGTCATCTAGTAAGGAGATTATTTAGTGGGGTCATTTTATTTTTATTTTTATTTTTTAGGGTCGTTTTATTTTTAGAGCATTATTTAAATGCAGCTTCTCAAAACTAGTAAGACATGTATACATTCATGTAACAAAAACTTTCCTATTATTTTATGGAATATATTCAAAATGTAAAAGATTGGTCATAAAAAAGGTTAACTATATAGTGAACCAATCTGTAGAGCATTACAAAAATAAAGCAGATCAGGCATGGGCTGTGTGTAACTATTCTCTTCTGTTTTTCAGAATCATCTGAAAATATGCTGCCACCAATAGCCTTTCTGCTGCTAATGTCCCTGACCTCGGTTCATGGAGTGTTTTATGCTGAGAGATACCAAACTCCCACGGGCATCAAGGGCCCACTTCAGAACACCAAGACACAGTACTTCATCCCATACTCCATAAAGACTAAAGGTAAAATCAGCTGCACAATCTGCTCTACTAACCAGAGGGCTGGCGCTGTCAAGTATCAATGATGAACTCCTTAACAAAATACTTTCCAGCCTGTTCTTGTTCTATTGGCTCAAGTTACTACAACAAAATGATGTGTAGAAAAGACAGGTCTGTATAGGAATGTAATATTCCTGGAGAAGCTGGCAGAAGGGAAAGACACACCTGAGGAATATCAGGGACTATGGATGGGGCCTGCTTTTTTCCCTTTCAAATGATAGTTTCGTGCAATTAACTAATTACCCAGAATCTAGGAATATTAATTCAATAATATTAAGTTAAACTAAAAACAATTTCACAAACTAGGAATTTTATGCATCTAATTACTTAAACATGGCTTTAAAAACCCTAGCCTGCAGATATTAAAGAAAAATGGTATCAAATAAAACCTGACAGGCCTCAATAAAGCTAATGGGCAAAGGAAGCAGCAATACTCATAGTTACTTACGTATTCATATATAGTGCACTGGTTAAATGTACAGACATAACTAACTGCTAAGTGCTGCCTGTGTGGGCTCAGAGTTCCAAAGGCGTCTGTGAAGTTTAAATGTGCTACATCTGACGAGTGTGTATGTCTTGATATTACTACACTAAAGCACAGCTTCTTCCTTCTACTTCTCCAATGGGATAGCATGAGATCTCTGGGATCTAACTCTCACCTGTCTGCTGTGTTATATGAAGGACGCCAAGACAGTACATGCGAAATAACATGAGATCGTCACAGAAGGGCCACACTCAGGCCATAGCTTTGCCAATGGTCTGAATCTACCAGATTCAGACACGGTAACTACTGGAAATAACACACAGTTCTCAGATTTCACTTTCCACAGCATTTTTCAAGGTGTTCACATATTTTGCCCTGCATAGAGCAAAGGCATGTGTTGTAATCTTTAAATGGTACTATTTTAGACAGAAATATTTTGAAAAACAAATGTTTAAGAATGCCATTTTAAAAGAATTAAATAGTTCAAAAAGGCAACCTAATATTTAAATATTATTATTAGATGATATTATGTTTAAATATTTTGAAAGTATGAGAGATACTCTTTCATGAAGAGTAGAACCCTCCAGTGACATGCTTCCAAGACAAGTGGCCCAAGAGATGCAGCATAAACTTCCCTGGAAAGTACCTCTGTGGGTCCATGGGACTGAACAAGGGCAAAGGGAGAGGGTGTAACTTGTTTCTCTTTATAAGGAAAAAGACCAGAGAGATACTCTTGACTGTCTCATAATACATAAATCGATAAAAAGGTAAAGGCTAGAAGGAAAGAATAGAAGACAAACGTACTCTACCTTAAAGCAGTGAGTGTAGTCTGAAATGCCAACGGGCAGAAATGGGTTTGGCCCTTTGCCCCAATTCAGACTTTTTAGTACTTTACCAATATCACAAAAAGTGTTGGAGTAAAAACAAAACACGCTGCTGTTAGAAGGTTAAATGTGTCTTAGTCTTCCCATCTAAGACATACTGTTCATCACTCTGTTCTTACGGAACACATGAAAATATCTTCTTAGCAGGTACAAAGTGGAGAAGCCGTGATTTAACTATTAACCCTACCTGGGTCTCTTTTTGATAATGAACAGAAATCCCACCGACTGCCAGGCATCACCTATAACAAGCACACATGCATGCCTACATCAAGGTGACAGTATAAACCAGGAAGTTCCTAGGGTAATCTCTGAGCACATCTGCTCAGTACAGCCTGACAGAGAGAACAGTCAAAGCATGCTCACTGAGCTGGAGGGAAGCTACTCCACCCTCAGAGCAGCCTGTAGACACTTTCAAACCACAATAGAAGGCAGCTGCTATTCTTGAGGGACTGCGCTCCTCGTCATACTTTTCTAGACCAGGAATGAATGGCTATTCCTTAAATACTCACAGAAGCCAGACTCTTTCTTGCACTGAGGGCTTTAGGATCCTAAGACCAACAAAGACCCTGTCACTAGAGAGAAAGCTTCCAACAGTGTCTGAGTCTACCCTTTCCTTTCCAGTAAGACATGTCTCCCCCTTTGTTTCAACATTAAAACATATTTCCATAATTCCACAATCTTTTATATAAATATGATTCTTATAATTCGATGCTACAGAAAATTCTGCATTTGAAAAATATGCTATTTAACTCCATGCCATTAAAAAATCCCTTATTTACTCATGAATTTTATTTTGTGTGTCAAAATTTATACACACATATAACAGATATAAACCAAAGTTAATCTCAGGAGTTATCTTTGAGAATATTAGTAACCGCTGTTGGCTGGCTACTCTTTAAGTGCCAGATAATTAATAGGATAGATTTTTCTAAAAATTAATGTACTTGCATACTAATGGCTAAAGGGAATAGTATTCTTTAAAAAGTTATCAAATATAATTTAAAATGGTTAATAAACATCCCCTAGTCTTCATTTTGGCTTTTCAACCCATTAAGGTCTTAGGAATTTATCATATTAAAAGTTACTGTAGTAAAAGTTAGCTAAAAAGTGATAGATGTATAGTTAGGAGTTTAGCTCATGGTAGAGCACTCGCCGAGCATGCGTGAGGTCCTGGTTTTGAGAGTAGGATTGATCACACACACACACTCCCCACAAGAAATGAATGGATCATAGCTAAACATCATTTTTACAGTTTTGAGCTACCCACTGTCACATCTGCTAAATCAGCATTCCTATGCTGCTTTCCAACAGTCCAAAAATCTAAAGGCTTCTGAAAACTTAAGATAATTTAAATAAAAATTGATTGTATAAGTGAATATTTTAAAAAATCACATGCAATTTTATTGTCATCCTTACTAGTTATATATAATTTCTCTGAGAAAAAAAAACCACTTTGTTTTATGGCATTTACAATGACTACTGCCAATAGACAGAAACAAACATGGTCTTCATGCCATATGGAAATGTCTACACTGCAGGCTATATCCCACTGCTGAAGGGCTTCTTACAGTAACCGCCACACTTTATCCCTGAGGCAGTAAGTCGCATTCTGTTTCACCCGCATCTGTGATCCAATAGTACATTCTGTCACAGGCACTGAGAGAGTGGTTACTGAAGATAAGTTTAGAACACCAGGGAAATGTTTCAGTTAAATGAATCCCCAGCATTAGGAGATTAAGCAGCATTTACTGCATTTTCATCACCACTCTGAAACTATTCTGTGTGCTTCAGCGACACATTATATCCAGTCCTGTCATTCTTTGCTTCAATTTTAAGTCAATGGAGGAGAACAAAAGCCCAAATATATACTGAGGTTGACAATGGGTCTACATCTAAGCTATTTGATAGGACACACTGCTCAGGCTTCAGTCTCTCGTCTGTGCCTTGGAGAATAACCCATGTGAAGATAGACTGCGCAGTTCTTCCTTTGCTTTCCATTCTAACTGGATGAGTTTCCCAAGACAAAACATCCACCCACCTCCATGCTATGTTTCCTTAGAGGGATTCCTCAAAGCCAGTTCATTTTCATTGCCTCATTAGGATGACTCCTTAGTCATGGTAGCCATGGCTTTGTGAAACCACCTTCTTCAGAAGTCTCGGAACAAGTACAACACCCATACCATCCAACCCACTGAAGATGGTTGTGTGGAAGATTTATCTGGAATGCAGGAACTACCGAACTCTGCCTTTCCTGTGCTTTGAGAATCTCTGGCTGCTTTTACTGTTGCTTATGTTGGGTGGTGTGTTGGTGTCTTACAGGAATCCCAGTAAGAGGAGAGCAAGGAGTTCCTGGTCCACCAGGCCCAGCTGGACCCCGAGGACACCCAGGTCCGTCAGGACCTCCAGGAAAGCCAGGCTATGGAAGCCCTGGGCTCCAAGGAGAGCCAGGATTGCCAGGACCACCAGGAATATCAGCCACTGGGAAGCCAGGCTTGCCAGGCCTGCCAGGCAAACCAGGGGAGAGAGGACCACATGGACACAAAGGAGATATTGGACCAGCTGGCTTACCAGGACCTCGGGGCCCTCCAGGACCACCTGGAATCCCTGGCCCAGCTGGAATTTCTGTGTCAGGAAAACCTGGACAGCAGGGACTTACAGGTGCCCCAGGACCCAGGGGCTTTCCCGGAGAAAAGGGAGCACCAGGAGCCCCTGGTGTGAATGGACAGAAAGGGGAAACAGGATATGGTGCTCCTGGCCGTCCAGGTGAGAGAGGTCTTCCAGGCCCTCAGGGTCCCATAGGACGCCCTGGCCCTCCTGGAGTGGGAAGAAGAGGTGAAAATGGCCTTCCAGGACAGCCGGGAATCAAAGGTGATCGGGGTTTCCCAGGAGAAAGGGGACCATTAGGTCCACCAGGTCCCCAAGGTCCTCCTGGGAAACAAGGACAAGAAGGTATTGGGAAGCCAGGAGCTGCTGGGGCCCCCGGTCAGCCAGGTATCCCAGGAGAAAAAGGTCATCCAGGAGCTCCAGGAACAGTTGGGCCTCCAGGAGCTCCTGGCTTTGGAAAACCAGGCTTGCCAGGTTTGAGGGGACAAAGGGGGCCTGCTGGTCTTCCTGGGGCCCCAGGTGCCAAAGGTGAACAAGGCCCAGCAGGTCATCCTGGGGAGGCAGGTCTGACTGGATCTCCTGGGAATATGGGACCCCAGGGACCGAAAGGAATCCCAGGGAACCATGGTGTCCCAGGTGCTAAAGGTGAGGCAGGTCCAATTGGGCCTGTAGGGCCACCTGGGGCTAGAGGAGCAAGGGGCCCCCCTGGGTTAGATGGAAAAACAGGGTACCCTGGGGAGCCAGGTCTCAATGGTCCTAAGGGTAACCCAGGGCTACCAGGCCCAAAAGGTGATCCTGGAGTGGGAGGAGCCCCTGGTCCCCAAGGTCCTGCTGGCCCCGCAGGAGCTAAGGGAATGCCTGGACACAATGGTGAGGCAGGTCCAAGAGGTGAACCTGGGATACCAGGTAGCAGGGGTCCCATTGGGCCACCAGGTATCCCAGGATTCCCTGGAGCTAAGGGCGTCCCTGGAAACCCAGGTCCTCCTGGCCCAGCTGGTATAGCAACTAAGGGCCTCAGTGGGCCCACCGGTCCTCCAGGTCCTCCTGGTCCAAGAGGACACAGTGGAGAGCCTGGTCTCCCAGGTCCCCCAGGTCCCCCAGGTCCCCCTGGTCAAGGAGTCATGCCTGATGGCTTCATAAAGGCAGGCCAAAGGCCCAGGCTTTCTGGAATGCCCCTTGTCAGTGCTAACCACGGAGTAACAGGGATGCTGGTGTCTGCTTTTACAGTTGTCCTCTCCAAAGCTTACCCAGCAGTAGGCACCCCCATCCCATTTGATGAGATTTTGTATAATAGGCAGCAGCATTATGACCCGAGAACTGGAATCTTCACCTGTAAGATCCCAGGAATATACTATTTCTCCTATCACGTGCATGTGAAGGGAACTCACGTTTGGGTAGGCCTGTATAAGAACGGCACCCCCACAATGTACACATATGACGAGTACAGCAAAGGCTACCTGGATCAGGCTTCAGGGAGCGCAATCATTGAGCTCTCAGAAAACGACCAGGTGTGGCTGCAGCTGCCCAATGCAGAGTCAAACGGCCTCTACTCCTCTGAATATGTCCACTCCTCCTTCTCAGGGTTCCTAGTGGCGCCCATGTGAGCACTAGTACCGAGCTCATCTGCTTGGAAAGGCTTTCCCCCAACTCCATCGCGCCCACCCTGGAGATGCATATGGAGGTAGGCTAAAAGCAATGTGAACAATTTAAATTTCTAAAATGCACTCCGCGCCACGTTTCCTCCTATAACAGTGAGCAGCAATGGTGACCATGTGAGGACTCTCTTGAGCACTCAGCAAGTCTAGAGCCCTGGGGGTTCTGTGAATTCCTTTAATATTTAAAATTTCTAGCATAAGCTTTAAAAAAACTCACAAACACAGGAATAAGGTTCTAACTCACCGTGAATTTCATTTCAGAAGTACAGCATTTCTTTTTTTAAAAGCCTGTTTTTAATAATTAATAGGAAAACTTCTAGGAAACACGCAGGAAGTGTCACATAATTTTATACTAAGTACTTGAATATTCAAATGTAAATGACACTGTATCCCCTGGGATGTCTCTGATGGTGCATCACTCTATGGCTCATACAGCCCCTGTCATCAAGACAAATTCAAAAGCACAGGTGCATATACACTTTTTGAAGCTCTCATAAGACACCAAAACACTGCATTAAAATGAACTTGAAGTACAAAGTGCTTCGCCACAAACCTTTTCAAGCTTCTCTGCAATTGTAGAAAGTCCACATGCCTGGTGCCACTTGGAAACAGGTGTCTGACCTGGTCTTATGTCTGGCACACAGTGTGATCGCTCCAATTTAATTCTGCTGCATCTTTGTAAAATGATTTTATGGGCTTACAGAACAGTAGCATGGAACGCTTTCCATTCCAGTGAAAGTATAATTAACATTAAAGGTTCAAAATCAGACTAGAAACAAAAAGACATTATTTATTTATGCTCTGTACTGTATTTTTATATTACTGTTTAAAATTGTTATGCTGTACCTCACTTATGAAAGCATGGAGTGTTTAATCTACTCGTTATTACAAAGCAATAAAATGACATGAACAGATTTTTCTTCTATGCTGAATTTACTTCAAAGCCAACATCCGGCTGTTCTCAATTGTGCTTCTCCTTGGAGAAAGCTAATGCGAAAACCAATGAAGCAGTGGGTGACTTCACAGTTGTCATGGGTTTGCCCCTCTGTCAAGATGGGCACTGCACACACCATGTACCATGGGGAGGTTAAAAAATAACCTCTATGAGCCAGGACCAAGGTTGATGAGCACCCACAGGAAAATAAAAATATATAAACATCACTTTAAAACACTGCTTTTGTCTTGGACGGAGAGAAGAAGTTGTCAGAGAAATATCAAATTGGAACAAATATCCTGTAATCATTATTTATGGCCTTAGCACATTTTAGTCATAATATTTAGAATTATTTTGATGGCTTGGTTTACTGAAAGGGAGGCATGTAATTTTTTGGTGTCAATCAAAAGGCAACATGTTTCAGAACTTAAAATCATGCTGAATTCATCAGCCCACTTGTTACTGTGGACTCAATCACTACGGTTATGTAACATAAATAAAACCTCTGTAAACCTGCAAAGAAAGCAAAAAGCCCTAGCTTGAGGTTGGCGGTAACTCTGCCCCCATTCTGGGTCAACCACTCCAGTTCTTTAAACCTAGAGAGCAGAAGGGAATTCTATCAGCGGGCACTTCACCGTCTCTCTGTCACTACTGCGCTGAGGGTTACAGGTGTCACCAGCTCCCACTCCTAAGTCTCAAGGACCGGGACTTTGATTCTAGGGAACACCCTCCAGCCCAGGACAGCTGCACGGGGAGGCATGGGAAGGAAGGCAGTGGAGAAGAGTGACTCAGACTCTTGACAACTACAACCACACAGCAGAATGAATATGGGTACCAGAACTAATTTCATAGTGAACATTTTTACCAGAGCAAATCCCAAGTAAGGAGTAGAGCAAAAGAGGCAGCGTCGATCTAATTCAGTAGACATGGGGCATTTAGCAAACCTCTACCAGGAAGCCCCTCTTCACGTTACTCACCCTTAAAGGCTGACATTTTAAAATTGTGTTGTATACCAGCAACTACATCCTTCCAAAAATCAAATGTTTTTTGACCTCTGTTCTGCTAAAAAAAGAAATTTCCAAATGTAACAAGTGCAGTAATTCTGTTTCTAAGCATAGTAGTGGTAAGCTACATCAAATAATTACGTGTATTGACTCTAAGGTGGGAATTCAGGTTTTACAAAACATGACAGATTAATATAGAAATACTCCTCAAAAATCACTGCTACAATAAATAAACATCACTAAGTACTAATGTGGTTCACATAGCCCAAAGAAGGTAAATGTCCCCTCTTATGGCCTAAAACTACAGAATATTTAGACATACAAGAAATTTACCAAGTTCTATAGCTTCTGAAATAATGGAGTGTGCTACTCCAGGCATGATAGTACCAACAGGACCCAAAACAGGGCAGTTCAGAATTCACTGTCCACTTAGCCTGCACTTCCACAAACAGGTGCAAAGTCTAAATGTAAATCATCTTATGGAGAACTCTGCAAGCTAGCAAAAAAGTTTACACTGAACTACACAACTCTACAGCCCTTTGTTGCATAGAAACATCAACAGTGTCTACTTTCTATATGGAAAAAGATCATTAGATATTTATATGTAATTATACACATTGCAAAACACTACAGGCTGATGAACTGGGGTGAAGTTCAGCAGTAGAGCCCTTGCCTGAAGTGGAAGGTCCTGGGTATGATCCCCAGGCCTGGAGGGCAGGGGAACACTTGATATTTTCCCCTGCTGGTGTAAGGTAAGAAACAGGTTCCACTTGGTGCTGATAAAAAACCATAATGCTGGGGAAATACCTCAGTGGTGATGTCCTTGCGTACTCTAGCCCCCAAGTAAAATCCCCAGCACCTAAACCAACCCAATCCAACCCAACCCGACCATCTCTCCTGCTCAACAGAAACGTTCATGAATACATGACTGTAACTCTCATTTCAATAATAACCCACTTATACACTTAGTTGTGATTTTAAAATACATTGGCTGCAAGAAGAAAAACAATACTGGCAGACAAACCAAGTTATATTCATAGGTCTTTAAGTTTAGGTTTAAATTGTCAAACTAAAGATTTATTTCATCTGGACAATCAAAAAGCAAATGATAAATTAAGAAAATTGCTTCATTTTTCTGGTTTGATATTTAGAGTACATCAAGACACATGGAATTTTTCTTAATTACCTGAACTTTTTTTTAAATCTGCTAATGAAAGCAAGAAAATATTTGTCCAGAGCATACCTTGTTTCTTTTCTCTAGACTCTTACACCCCCTACTGGAGAAGAGGGTGACTTTTGCCTAACCAAACATTTTTTTAAAGGGTACTCTTAATTTTCCAAAAACATTTTGACAAATTCACCATGTTTGCTTCCTCGGTCACCTCTGAAACCACCTAAAGCAAACAAAGTGACATCTCAACTTGAAAGTTGCATGTAATTAACGCCTCTTATGACTCCATGCAGTTTAAAGCCTTAAAGCCGAGAGCCCACTCACCTTTGTTAAGGAGTCCACCACCCTGGCACACAGAAGAGCCCCAGGTAGGTCAAAGTAGTTATCATAGAAGTAGCACTTTCCTGGAACAAACAGACAGAAAAGTAGTTAACACAGAAGTAACACTTTCCTAGGACAGACAGACAGAAAAGTAGTTAACACAGAAGTAACACTTTCCTGGAACAAACAGACAGAAAAGTAGTTATTACAGAAGTAACATTTTCCTAGGACAGACAGACAGAAAAGTAGTTATCACAGAAGTAACACTTTCCTGGAACAAACAGACAGAAAAGTAGTTATTACAGAAGTAACACTTTCCTAGGACAGACAGACAGAAAAGTAGTTATCACAGAAGTAACACTTTCCTAGGACACACAGACAGAAAAGAAGTTATCATAGAAGTAATACTTTCCTAGAAGAAACAGACAGAAAACAGTCACCGCCTCCTGCTTGTGGGAGAGAGAGAAACTTGTCTGAAGGAAGCCTGGGTGCTCCTCTGATTATCTGAGTGTGTGCTGTCTGCCTGCCAGTGGAGGCCAGACGACAGCCGGTGTCATTCCTCAGGCACAGTCCACTACTGGTTTGTAAGACAGGGTCAGTCACTGATCTGCTTGTCACAAAGGCCAGGCCAACTGGGCAGAGAACACCATATCCCATGTGTTTCCACCTCCAAGCACTGGGATTACAAGTGTAGATGGCACTGTGCCAGGGTTTTTAGTTGTAAATTCTGGGGACTGAACTTAGGTCTTCCCTTGCCTTTTTAATTTTTATTTTGGGGATGTTTTACTTGTGTTCCACATGTCATTGAACAATGCATCACACATTGGTACCTTAGTTGGATATGGAGAGAACTTTCCATAGGAATTTCAGTAAAAAGATCCATTTCAAATCAGCATTACTACAGGCTATCCCTTTTTTCATAAAGATTTACTTATTTTATTTTTTATTGAGGGTGTTTGAGTATTTAATCTGCAGGTATATACATACTACATGGTGCCAGGTGTCTGTGGAAACCAGAACAGAGTGTCAGAGCCCCTGAGACTTGGGTTACACAATGTGACCTGCCATGCAGGGGCTGGGAACTGAACCCCGATCCTGGCTAGAATAAGTGCTCCTAACTGCTGAGCCATCTCTCCAGTCCCCATCCTTGTCTTTTGAGAATGGTTAAGCTCTAGTGGCCCTAAAAGACAGGACATCTGTAAGTTAAGCATTTTATTAAAACGCATTTCAGTTGCAAACTATAAAACCTCAAGACAGAATACATTATCACTATAAAACCCAATACGAAGAAGTCACAATATATTATTAACGTTGCCAAATTTCAAAACAGTTAAATAATCTAACATTAGAGTCCCATGAAATGTTCCCTATAAACCATCTTAATTAACCCATGTAGAATACTGCATTCAACCTTTACACCATTTCAGACAAACAGGAAAACTTGAGAACAGCCAGGGTAATGACAGGAATAAAAATCATGTCATGTGAGTGTATGGTGGCCTGGACCAGAAAATCTCAAGAGTATGGAACAAGTACATCCCAGGGTTTCATGGGAGAAAAGACTTACGGTTTACTTTGTATGGTCTTGGGGTAAATTAAATTCAAGCCCTTCCTTGTCCATTCGTCATCTCTGGATTTCCATGTCCCAGGCAACACTTCTGCTGGTCCTAGTCCCACCTTTCCAGCCTTGCCGCTGAGCAGTGTCACGTGAGACCTAACAGAGTCATGTGCCTTCTCCCAAGGCCCCGGAGCCACATGGCCCAGGTGGTCAACTCAACTAACAAGCAAGTGAAGCGAGCACCCGACCTCCTTTCTCTCCAGAAATCTCAGTGAAATCCAGAGCCTCTGTTCCCTCTTTCTACAATACTTAACTTTCCCAACCATATGCTCCGACTGAATGTAAGCACAGTCTAACCGCATGGCGGAGCCACTGGGCCTTCTTCCCTTCCTCCTTCTCCACATGTAAAATTTTATGTGTGGGGTGAGAGAGGGCTCAGTGGTTAGGAGCACGCACTGTTCATCCAGAGGACTGGGCTCAGATCCCGGCACTCAGGGTGGTTCCACCCAAACACCTGTAACTCCAGCTCCAGGGATCTGACACCCTTCTCTGTCCTCTGTGTGCAGCTGCACTTGAACGTTTTATCGTTTTAGAGAGACAGGCCTTCACTGTGTATCAGTCTGATACCCCGGGCTCTGCACACCTGGATGGCAGCTCTGCCTAACAAACCAGATGAGATGAAGGCTTTTATGGCGACTGCAGCAGCGGAGCTGTCACTTGGAAGAAACAGTGCCCTCTGGTGGTAAAGGATTGAACAAACAAGTCCTCATAACCGGTACCTGCTCTTTTTCAGAACCAGGGGATATTTTACCTTTTAAAAATAGTCCAGATTTTGAACGAATTTCCAAGTGAAACACTTAGTTCTGAGCCTAGCATTTCTTGGGAAAGTGAAGAAGTTACTTAACAGGGCTTTTTGTAACTGGGAA